ATATATATATATATATATATATATATATTAATTTATTAGATATGAACATTAAAAAACAGTGAATGTGGTGTTTCTCCTTTGATGTGCATTTCTGTCCAATCTTTTAACAGTTAGAAATAAAGAAAGAAAAAAAGTTAATACATTTATATACATACATACTTTTTTGTGTGTCATTTTTCCAATTATCTTTACCTTCCTTTTTAACACTTCTCCACTTATTTTAAATCTATGAACATCCTTTCCTGTCCCTCCATTTATAAAATGTGTTCCATATTTTATAATATTCTAGTTCACCTCGCTCCTTCAATTCGAGTGTATCTAATTTGGCGCATACCGTCAACATTTCAAGATCGTGGGAAGGGGTTAATAGCACTCTATAAAGCCTTAGTAAGGCCACACCTAGAATCCTGCATCCAGTTTGGGTCACCACATTATTAAAAAGAGGTTGAGACTCTAAGAAAGAGTGCAGAGGAGAGCAACCAGGGCAATTAGGGGACTGGAGGCTCAAACATAAGATGAACCGTTGCAGGAATTGGGTATGTCTAGTCTAGCGAAGAGAAGGACCAGGGGAGACATGAGAGCAGTCTTCCAGTATTTGAGGGGCTGCCCCAAAGAAGAGGGAGTCAAGCTATTCTCCAAAGCACCTAAAGACAGAACAAGAATCAATGGATGGAAGTGAATCGAGGAGAGAAGCAACCTAGAACTAAGGAGAAATTTCCTGAGAGTTAGAACAATCAACCTGTGAAACAGCTTGTCCTCAGAGGTTGTGGGATGCTTCATCACTGGAGGCATTTAAGAAGAGACTGGACAACCACTTGTCTGAAATGGTATAGGCTGTCCTGCTTGAAGAAGTGGTTGGAATATAAGACCTCCAAGAGCCCTTCCAGTTCTGTTCTATCTTCTTATAAGTAATAAAGGTACGATAAAAAAATAACTATAAATTAATATTCTCCCTTGCTCCAGTGAAGAAGACTAGAACCCATGGAACGAAGCTTCGTGGATGCAGATTTGCCGGGGACATCTGGAAGAACTTCCTGACAATAAGAGCTGTCAATCGGTGGAGGAGGTTACTACACGGAGGGGGTTCTTTCTTCCCCTTCTATGGAGGCTTTGAAACATTGTAGGGATGGTGTAGTGGATCCTGTGTCAACTCGTAAAGCATTCCTGGGCCTGCTCTTGAGTTGCCCTAGGCAGGGGAGAGGGGGAGAACTGATGGAGAAGCTCCGTTGCTATGACCAGAAGCACATTCCACGCATACCTTTCTCCAGATTGTATCCCAGGTTACCAGAGCAAGCCAGAGAGGTGTGTTTTCCACAGCTTGGTTGTAGAATGTGATTTATGACACACCCTGGGAGGAGGGGGGAAATAGGTGGGCAGTAAATTACGTGGGGAAGAGCCGACTGCACTTGGGAAAAGTGCCAAAATGTTGCTCTCAATAAATAATCGGATTTCTTTTGAAACTTGACTGGAGGCTCATGAATTAATTAGGGCATCCATCGGAACCCCGACATCCTGCAGCGTGCAAGGGTTGGATTTGATGACCTCTTTAATGACCTCTTTGATTGAGGACCTCTTTGATCTTATTCTTTAGATTCTATGATTGTAACTATATTAATAATTAAATTTCAATCCAAATCATCTTCTCTTTATAATGCCTCTTGCCCAAGGGAACAAAAGAAAAAAAGAACAAACCTCATGTCAAAAGAATAGCTTTGTTTATGCATTTTAAGCAGCCATAAAAGGCCTTGAATTCCCATCTTGTCTGGTTCCCTATTTGCAAGTATATATTTCTTTCAATTCAGGCCATTGTATGCGTGCAGCCAAACAGCCCTAAAAGGCTCGATCTTTTCTTCCCTTTAATCAAACAATTATTTCGGTCTAAGCCCAAAGAAATAACCATCATTAGCGATGGGATTCAAAGATGATTAGGAGACTGGAACTAAAACAGATGAAGATCGGTTGCAGCCATTGTGTTATGTCTAGTCTAGAGAAAATGAGGACTCGAGGTGATACGATAGAAGTGTTCCGGTATTTGAGGGAATGTCATAAAGAAGAGAAAGGGGACAACCAATTTTCCAAAGCACCAGAAGGCAAGAAAAAGAAACAACGGATGGAAACTAATCCAGGAGAGAAGCAACCTGGAATTAAGGAGAAACTTCCTAACTGTGAGGACAATTAACCAGTGGAACAGCTGGCCACCAGAAGTTGTAGGCGCTTCAATCCTGGAGGTTTTTAAGAAGAGACTGGACAGCCACTCTTCTGGAATTGTATAGGATCCCCTGCTTGAGCAGGGGGTTGGACTAGAAGACCTCAAAGGACCCTTCCAACGGTTATTCTCTTCTGTCCTGGCTGCATGGTTTGATTTGGGTTTGTTTTCCATCTGTTTTCCTGCCCAGTTTCCTCCTGAAAAACCATTTCAGGCAGAGGAATGATGTCCATCCAGCAAGCCTGATTGTCAAATTGTATAACCAGTTGTATAAGTCACTTCGCTCCAAATACGTATCTCGGTTCATTTGTTTCCCTCTCTCTCTTTGGTTTGCTTCATCACGGCTCTTGCAGTTCTAAGTTTAGTTGCTCTTCCCTTTTTCATATCCTCCGGCATTTGACAGAAGAGAGGGAAAAAGGTACAGTTATTTTAGGAGAAGCAAACAAAGGAGTCCTAAATTTGATCTTTGATGTAGGAAGCTAAAAGTTCAAGCAAAGCGAGAGAGCTGAACACCCTCCCACTGTTATTAACTTCATTTCCCAACTGGCTGCAGAAAACAAAAAACCAAACAAGCACGCATATTATTCACATTTGGAGGTTGAATGTTGCCTTGCCTGAAATATATGGAGCGACTGCGATTGTGATTGGTTAAGAAAGAGACAAGGCCAGCTGACATTATTTGAGAATTATGCAGCACAAAAACCATCTTCGTTTTTGGAAAACAAAAAAAAATGGAGTGTCTTTTTGAGGGAATTTGAAGTCCCCCAAAAATGTCAGTCTCAAAATGTGGCACACTGTGTAGGTGGAACCGAGTGAAATACAGCAGATGTTGAAGTTTCTCGGTAGCTGGGAAGAAGTAAAAGATGCTAGATACTCCTTGGATTAGGTGGGGTTGGGTTTAGCTGTAGACTAGTAAAACAGCCGCGAAGGTCCGAGAGCTTCTGGAGTTAGAACTAGAAGCCCTGGACCGACACCATCCAAGGAGAGACTACGGAGAGATTTCCTAGAACGGCTTTTCCCCCCAAAAGTGGTGGGTGCTTCACTATGGAAGGTTTTCGAGAATAAATTGGATGGCCTGAAATGGTGCAGGGTCTTCTTCTTGAAGGGACACCGTGGCTCAGACGCTGAGCTTGTCGATCGGAAAGGTCGGCGGTTCGGCGGTTCGAATCCCTAGCACCACGTTACGGAGTGAGCTCCCGTTCCTTGTCCCAGATTCTGCCAACCGAGCAGTTCGAAAGGACGTTAAAAATAAAAAATGCAAGTAGGAAAATAGGGTCCACTTTGGTGGGAAGGGAACAGCGTTCCGTGCGCCTTCGAAGGCGGTTTAGTCCTGCCGGCCACATGACCGCGGAGACGTCTCTTCGGACAGCGCTGGCTTTTCTTCGGCTTTGTAACGGATTCATTGATTCTTGGAATTGATGAAAAGATGCCTTAGGTGCTATGCTGTACCTTCAAAGATCGGAACTCTGCAAGCTGTAGTATTGCCTGTGACACACTACAGAAGCAAAAGTCGGACTTTGAAGAAGCAAGAGAGGAAGAGCATTGAGCGCCTTTTGGATCATGGAGTTGGAGAAGACTCCTGAGAAGACCATGGACAGACCAGTAGACAAACCAATGGATCATTGAATGAATCAACCCAACAGTGTCACTCAAGGCACAAATGATCAGCTCAAAGTTTCTTACTTTGGACACGTGACATGATTATCTTGCTCTCTGGAGAAAACTCTAATGCTGAGAAAAGTGGAAGGCCGAAGAGTTGAAAGGACCGATCACCCAAGAGTTAAGTCTAGGAGTCTAGTTGGCCTTCAAGAATCACTTACCTAATTGGCTTAGGGAAAATTAAGGATAATAATGATGTGTAATGTTAAATAAAACAGGTGGTAAGCTGAAAATGGAAATAATAGGGGAGAAAGAACTGGGAATTTATATTTGGATGAAATGATATTGATATTGAATTAATGGATTGAAATAGGAAATGGAAATTTATTTAAAGAGAAGTGAAATGGGTAATGATATGAGATTATATTATATAAGATTGGCAGAAATGAAAGTATGATTATGTACAAGTGTTATAATCTGGAACTATGTGGCCCACGTAAAGATATGTGTAAAAATTAGGAATTAAAAACATTTTTTGGGGAAAAAAAAAGAATCACCACCAAAGTGATAGCATATCATCCTTGAATATTGGGTTGGTAGTTGGGTTGTTGGTGTGAGCCTTGAGCTTAGCAATTTGGTTGCAAACATTTCGTCACTCTTCGAGGAGCACTTCAAAGCGCACTGGTGATGTCTCCTCAAAAGGTGACAACATTTACAACCAAATTGCAAATACCTAACTCCATTGAGAAGTCTGTAATGCTGGAAAAGTTGGAAGGAAAGAGAAGTAGAGATCAGAGATGGCATTCTACCTGGTCGGACCAGTTCTATAGAACTGGTTGTTATGATTCTGCCCAGTTTGGAGAACCAGCAAATTGCACCATTGGCTTTTCCTTCCCTTCCCCGCCCACTCACACCTTACCTGGCATGCGCACCATCAAATTTGCCTGCTAAGTTGCTATTTTCC